AGAAAAGAAAACTTATATATTTTATATAAATGTTAAATTGAAATTTCATTACTATTGACAAACAGTGCAACTTTGTGTTTAACTACAAACAAACATGCTACTACACCGGGTAAACAAAGAACAGTCTGTTAATAAATAAACTTAATATTCCAGTTTATCTCTCTTCGGTTAACTTGTGTTCATGGTTACCAATGAGGAGTCGAATTCTCCGAAACTAGTATAACCCAATAACGCACGTTGATCAAATTGTAGATTGAACTGGACCTCCCTTGAACTTAGACTTCGAAATTAAACTATTTTAGGATTACTAAATTTATTTATTATATCTGCTATTGTGCGGCTATATAATGCGAAGAACTGAATAGTAGCCAATGACACTTTTTCTTCACTTCACATATCCAGTGTATAGGTTTTTCTCGTAGTGACTACAAAGCACGTTTACACCAACAGCATGTTTGAACAGCCTGGTAAAAAATTAAAATGATTCCAGCTTTGCTATACATAATATCACCTTGAACCAGAACTAACCTGGAATATATATACCTACAAAAACCATGATAAAATCACTCTAGAAAAATTCAAGGCCTTTTAGGCAATAAATAACAAAGTTTTTATAGTTCATTAAATATAGCGCTACGAACCGGTATTTGTACGAAGTTATACTACATTAATGATGACAGCTAAGTGACATAAAAACATGAAAAGCCTGTTGCACAAGAATCCGATTACACTTGTAAAGATGATCGTTTGTTTGTTTTTGAATTTCGCGCAAAGCTACACGAGGGAAGGCAGCTAGTCATCACCACCCACCGCCAACTCTTGGGATACTCTTTTACCAACGAATAGTGGGATTGATCGTCACGTTATAACGCCCCCACGGCTGAAAGGGCGAGCATGTTTGGTGGGACGGGGATTCGAACCCGCGACCCACAGATTGCGAGTCGAGTGCCCTAACCATGCTTTGCTACGGGGAACCTTATATGCTGTAGTAAGTATGGAGTTTTGTATTGATTGTAGTTTATTAATGTGTTTTGGTGCTATGTTTATCCATGCTGGGCATGCGTATTATATGAAAGGGCGTATATATGTTTTGTATATTTTGATAATATTGTCTGGTGACGTTTGTAATTAAGCACAAACCCACACAATGGGTTATCTGTGCTCTGCCCACCACGGGTATCGAAACCCGGATTCTAGCGTTGTAAGTCCGCGGACATACCGCTGTGCCACTGGGGGGCGTCTGGTGACGTTCCATAGTTTTTGCCAATAAGGCTCCTTGCATAGTTTGTACGTTTCCAAATTTTTGTTAATATTTTATTCATGTTAACTTAGAGCCGTAGGTTAAGCCTAGAAATTTTGCTGATGTTGCGGTTTAGAGAATTGTTCCATTCATATATAGTTTGGGTGGGTCATTTTTATGTCTTGTCTGTTTTACAAATACTACTAATTGATTTTTGGGAACATTTATTTTTATTCGATATTTTTGACAGTATTCTACAATATTATTTAATTGTAGCTGAAGAGTTGTTGCTGCTATAGATGGAGTGGGGGCACTTTTCCAGACCACAACATCGTCCACGAATTGTGATGAAAACCCTAAGTTTGGGTCTTTTAGGGGCATATTGCTGTGTGTATACTAATACTTTTCAAAAACTCAATGCTTCCGAATTATACTTGTCGCTTAAAAGGAAACGCCCTCCGGTGGCACAGCGGTATGTCTGCGGACTTACAACTCTAGAAACCGGGTTTCGATACCCGTGGTGGCCAAAGCACAGATAGCCCATTGTGTAGCTTTGTGCATAATTAGAAACAAGCAAATAAAAATAAATAAATCTGCTTTGTTTGAAGTTAAGCACAAAGCTACACAATGGGCTATCTTTGCTCTGTCCACCACGGGTATCGAATCTGCTTTGTGAAATGGTAAGAAATGATATTGTGAGTCATCTGTGTAGTATTATTCATATGCATCATGCGTTTTCGACCTCCTTATTTTAATGTAGAATTTTTTCAGAAATTTTTCCTCTATTCTCAATCTATGCAGCTTTGGCATCACACGTTGTTGACTTTAGTGTAGCCGCCTTTCATGTAATACCTGTTCTGCTCGTGAGAAGCGGTTGCTGTAAAGCTGTACGTTGTGCAAGACTGTAAAGTACAGCAGCGTCCTTCACCAATTGGTCAGAAACAGACAGTAAAGATAACCAACCCTAGTGTAATTTTATGCAAAAATTCTAAACAAATACTTTTCGGCTATTCCGGTGAAAAACTAAACTGGTAGTTCTAGTGTAATTAAAATTACTTTTTGAAATCACTATGTGTATATAGATGAAGAAATACAAGATTTAAATGGTAGTAAACAGGTTTATATAGAAAGACAAATGAGGTAGCGATCTTGCATTTGGTGTCTCTGTGGTCGTGCGAAGCCTGTGAACCAATCAAAACTTGTTAAACAAAAGGTCCCGCGAACTTTCTGCAAACGCAACACCGGACAGAATAAAGCTTATTATACCCGTTTTAAACTGTAGCGATAACACGTGGGCGTTAATCTACAGCAGAGTTGCATTGTGTTGTCATTAAAGTCAGTTTCCTCTAGAAGGAAGAAGAAAAAAAAAAGCCATCTAGAAAAAACCGTCGTCGGAAATAACGAGTCATCTCTCCGTAAAATAATACACAATTTATAGTGACAAGTTAAGACATCAGTCATTCGTTAACTGATATAAATTCTACGTTCCATTTTATAAAATTTAGGCAGATGTTTTGAGTATCGTAATTTTGTTTTATTTAAAAATAACATTATATCCAAGTTTATTAAATATCTTTCTCATTAGCGTTCTTTTTTTTAGTAAGTATAAAGTCTTTCATGCGTGGCCAAGCGGTTAGAGTTACCAGAATAAGAATTCAGATTCACAGTTCACCTCCCGTTGCAAATAACAACAAAAAAGAAAACGACACAAAAACACGCTCTATACTCTGGGGTCGTGGATGCGCTATAAGAGTGACTGGCAAATTCCATTGTTTAACGGGACATCTCTCATCTCTAAATTAGAGTTTGGTTTGAATTTCGCGCGAAGCAACACGAGGGCTATCTGAGCTAGCCGTCCCTAATTTAGCAGTGATAGACTAGAAGGGAAGGAAAACAGCTAGTTCTACACTACCCACCGCCAACTCTTTTACCAACGAATAGTGGGATTGACCGTCAAATTATAACGCCCCCACAGCTGAAAGGGCGAACACATTCGGCGACGGGGATCAAAATTAGGGACGACCTTGCACTGATAACCTTTGTGAAATTCTGAGGTAAACCAACTCTTTCAGGCGACTTACGATGTGTACGTTCATGAAATGTTAATTTACCAACGACAGTTGTCTAACAAAACAAAATCAAAATTCTACATCATAGAACTATTTCTGTACTTACAAAAAGTTGTAGCGGTATAAATAAAAATAATAATTTCGTAATACTATCAGATGCTAAAATGATACTTCCACAGAACGTCGACATAAACGAGTTCAGAAAATAAAAAAGAACAGAACGAAAAAGAATGTATATTTATTTGTAGATATACTGTTGCGTCA